TACCCAGCAGTTCCACTTTCTGGAATCTGTCCTAGTTACATACTTTCAGTTTTAGGCTAGGCATTAACCCCACTTCCCCACCAAAGTCTTGGGAAAAGCGAGCTATAGCGTTTGGGAGATAGCGAACGCAAGAAAGCAGTCAGGAGGAAGGCGGAATATCCTACTACACCCAAAAAAGCCAAACCCACTGCCGTGGAGTCCATTCTGATTCATAGAGACCCCATAGGGTTTCCAAGGCTGTGAATATCCTACTATGCCGCGGCCAAGAGAGCTCCAGCTCATTACCACTAAATCACCAGGGATCTTAACCACAGCTATCTTTCTATTACCTTGGCGCAATGGTACCACTTCCACTGAATTCTGGGAATCGTCCCGGAAGGCCGTTTACTCCTTGCTTTCTCCAAAAGCTGAGCCTGCACGCGACGCACACAGCGCTCCGCGCGGGGGCGCCCCCTCTAGGCCCGCCAGGCCCACACCTCTCGGAGCGAGGTGGCTCTTCCCCGCCGCACCTCAGACCTGACCTGGAGACGCGCCTTTGCGCGGCGGCAGCGCGTGGAGACGTGGCGGCCGGGACCAGGGCCGGGGACGAGCTTGCAGGGAGGAGGCGCCCAGGGTGGGAAGGGGGCTGAGCACGAGCCCCCGAGATCGCCAACATCCAGAAGGGCTCAGACGGATGCAGAAACCGAGACAGCCGGGACGGAAGGCCCGTTCACGCAGAGCCCCGGGCCCCTGAGCCCCGGATCTTCCCTCTAAAACCTCCGCACCTGCAGTTTCCGCCTTAGCCCGCAGCGCTCCTTCCATACGCTCAGGCCCGAACACTTGACGCCGGTCTTTCTCTCACACCCCACGTCAGATTAGTCAGGAAATCGTGTTTCCTCTGTGGCTAATTATGCGCTTCGATCTGCACAATCCATCTTTTTCTCGCTCTCTGAATTTGAGCACTGGGCTCTCCTGATAAAGGCGGGAAGATAATTTGACTCGAGACGCTCGGCTCGCCCAGGCCGCGGGGCTCGAGGCCCTTAGTCCCGGAATGAATCGTGCGGTTGGGCCGCCGTTGCGCCTTATCTGTGGTTTCTACCCCTTAAAATCAGCCTCTTCCGGGCCTGTCCTCGAGGGCCAGGGGCAGGGCTGGGTCCCCTCAGCGCGGATCCTCTGTCAGGAACCCCACACCCTTCCAGTTCAGTTCAGGCGGCGCTTTATTGGGTTTCTTCGAACCCCGCGAGGCCCCAGTGCCTCCCACCCCCCGCAACCGCTGCCCTCCCTGCTCCACGCGGTCTCACCGGCTCGTAGTAACGTCCCGGGTCAGTCCGAGCTCCGGGGTCCCCCGACAGGGAAGGACAGGTTGCCCCCACAAGGGATCGAAAACGGTCCTGAAACGGCAGAAAGGGAGAGGTGGAAACAGATGACAGGAAAGGGCAGAAATCCCATGTGATTTCCTGATCTAAAGGGACCATGAAGTTAAAGCCGGCCTCCTCCGGAACCGTTACCTCCCATCGCCCGTGAAGGTGAGTCGCGTTCCCCTCCCCAGCTGGAGTAAGCAGACACCCAGGGCCTGGCTATCAGAGCGTGCAATCCCTTGTAGCACGTCTCTCCCCACGCTTTCTATGGATTCCAAGGATGCAGCTGATAACTTTTTTTCAAACTATCCTTATGTGAAGAAAGAATACTTTAAAATTTTTATTTATTGATGTACTTTAAGTGAAAGTTTACAATTCAAGTTAGTCTCTCATACAAAACTTTATACATAGTTAAGTAACCCTGGTTGCTCTCCCTACGCTCTGACAGCACACTCCTCCTTTCCACCCCTGATTTCCCGTGTCCATTCAGCCAGCTCCTGACCCTCTCTGCCTTCTCATCTCACCTCCAGACAGGAGCTGCCATTTTGTCTCATGAATCTACT